CCACCGCATCCCCGCGAGGTCCCCTCTGGCCAGCACGCTGCCCGGCGCCGCGGTCCCCTCCCACACGCGCGCGTCTCCGCCTCTTCTCCGTCTGCGCCTCCTGTTGGCCGAGATGACCTCGGACGCCTCTTCCAATTGAACTGCCTTTCTGTCCTTTCCTTCTCTTTCCCGCGCTTTCTTTCCGCCTTCTCTTCCTCTCGCTCTCCTCAGGTCGCTCCTTTCTTTCCCCAAAGTCCTGCTTAGGAACTGGCGGCTCCGTTGTGGTTTGCCTCTTGGAACTCTGGTTTCAGTCCTTTGGGCTACGCCCTGGGCGGTCTACGGAAGCGCCTACACGTGGCCTCCGTCCTAAGGGGCCTCGGGAAACCGCTGGAGCTGAGCTATGGGAGGGCCGCAGGCGGAGGTCTGGGCACATTCCCCCGGAGGGTGTCATCAAGACAGGCCGTCTGCGCCAGGGCCTCGGAAGACAGGAGAGTGTTGGTCGTCTTCGCTTCCCCAGAATGACCTTTGATTGTCCTCTGGAACCCCTAATCTGTCCATCTCTCTGCTTCTTGGAGCTTGAGACAGGCACTGGTACAGAAGGTCACCTCTGTGTGCCTGAAAGCTAGCTTTCATTTACAGATTGCTAGGGCCGGGGATGCTGTCCACAGTAACCCTCTGTGCTTTCCAGAATTCTCCTGAGCGCAGCCAAGGGGAGGGGAAAAAGCAAACGCCAAAAAAGTTTCAGTCACTCCGTACAGGCAGTATAAGCTACTGGGGTTAGATTTAAAGTCCAGAACTCAAGTTATTTGAAAGTCAAGGGCTCTTGTATAGTTGCCTAAATACTGCACATAAATATATATGCATATATTCTTTGTGTACACACCTGTATGTATCTGTATGCCTATATTCTGTGGTATACATGGTATATACAGGTGTGCATCAGTATGTATATGTATGCACATATGTATATGTCCTGTGTGTATACGTATATTTATATGTATGCATATGTACATGTATTCTGTGTGTACACACACATATGTAAACATGTGCATATATTCTTTGTGTGTGCATATGTATGTTTATACAATGCATATATTCTGTGTGTATACGCATGGATATAAACGTGTATATATTCTGTGTATGCATATGTATATACACATGCATATATTCTGTGGGTACACATGTATGCATACATATGCAAGGTGTGTGTGTATATAATTTCCTCTAATGATGGCTTGGATCTGAATCTTCTTTGAGGATCATGCCTACAAGTTAAATAAAAGAACAGAAAAGCATCTTTACTTATGCACATTTCTAAGTTGATCTTCTCTTTGGCGCTTTGAACAAAGAAGCACAATGAAGTTTCTGAGCTGCCAAGAGAGCAAATGTGGTCACTCAACAGTGAACGAATCCTTTGCTGGGGGTCTGGGCTTTGATGTTACTTGGACCTAGTGTAGTCTGTCTTCAGATTCTCCAGTGCCTGGCCTTGGAGAAAGTCCTCAGCGTAAAGAAGGTCCCTGCCAACCTGGTGGGGGGCAGGAGGCAGAAACATAGAATCGGGGAGAGGAGGTGTTTTTCAAACCGTTTTGAATCGTTTTCTCTTTTTAAAGTATGGCTGGTGGGGGGGGGGGGGGGGGGGGAGTCACAAGGAGCAAGACATTGAGGCTCCTAGAAGCCATTGCCCGCAGGAGTTAATATGATGCTCCACAATCTCCATGCCAGGATGGAAGGCACTGAGAGGTCTGGCAAGCAGCGCCCTGCCACTGACTGACTGGCACAGGCGGCGGCTGCCAATCATCTATCGCTTGGCAACAAGTTACACCTGCAGCTCGGGTTTAATACTGATGCACTTGGACACCCATAGTGTGTGCACCCGCTAGGGCCCAGGGAACACCTCGTCACTAAAAAGGGCTTATGGAGAGTGCCCCGAACGCTGAACACTAGCACGATCTCACACAAGGCTAAACCATTTACCCCCTATTTAGATGCTCTGCAAAACAAGGGTAACTTTGTATTTGGAAACAATTTTCAGGACTGTGGTAGAAAGAAACCAGACCATTTCAAAGTCAGCTATCCAAGCTCCCCAAAGCATAAAGCCTTCCTGCAGTGTGCACTGGAGAGCAGGGTGTTTATAAAATAAATTGCTCCATTGATATGGAAAAGAATGTGCCAAGCCTGATTCACACAAAGTATTTTCAGGGGGGCTTAGGCTATTTATTTTAAAATCTAAATTGGAAAGCAGAGGAAAGAAATCTTTCAATTGCTAAGTGTATAATATAGTTTATAATTTGTAAACCATTTCCTTTATTTCAGTCTTGCTGACTTTCCATAACACACTGGATCACACGGCACACCCATTGCCTCCTAAATTATCAAAGGAGAAACAGATCTGTAGCATTCGTAAACAGTATTCTTGTTCTTTCTTTGTTCATTCACAATGTAACTGATATTTGGAGGTAGTGCGTGAACCAAATCAAAAGGTTTAACAAACTCGACTGGTGAAATAAGAAGGCAGTTGAAAACCAAGTTTATAACCTAGATATTTAGTGAAAAATAAATATGAAATGACGTTTCCTTTCTAATTATATATTATTTGATGAGTTCACTATTAAATGCTGAATGGCCTGAAATGAAAGCAGTTTAATCTGCAGAGACCAATTTGCTCTTGCACTGCATACTGTAGCAACCCTGCAATTAAAAAAAAAAAAAAGCCTACAGTAATAATCATAGTAATTGAGAGGAAAGAAAGCATTATTCCTGTACCTTGGACAAGCAATAGGGTCAGGAAATTCACAACGGCAGCATTTTTTTTAATGGGGGGGGGAAGGGAAGAGGCGTCATGTATTCACTGCCCAACATACTTAAACATCATTATTACTCCTCTTGTAATCATCATCATCATCATTATATGTTTATTTCTATTACAGTATGGTCAGTCGGGCCGCTTTGGTTAGGCTCCACTTTACCCACCAGGAATCTCCTAAACACCTCCCTCTGCGGCGCACAGAGACGCCCCCGTTACTCCATGAGGACTCTGGAGGGATGCTTGGACTGTCATGGATTTTCTGCAAGTCTTTGGGCCACTTTCATACCATTGGGATTGTACCGGCAGCGTGAGCGCAGTGGTGTTTGAGAATGGGCTTGGAAATCTCTTGTACCTCCCGGTATTGAGAACCCTTCAAGGTTTAAGAATTATAACCGCAGGTCTATGCCTTAATCGTTCCAGGAAACAGGCCTCTCGTTTGCATAATGCAGGAAAACGGCATCTGTCGCTCGGTCCCGAGGCCTCACTTTTCCGATCCGGGTTCAGGTGGGCCCCACTCCGTTCACGGAGTTTTCGCAGTTCTTAGGCAAACGGCTTGTGGAAGATTCGCTCCAAGAGAGCGTGGGCTAGATCATTCTTTTGCGATTTCAACAAACTTTTTCAACTGTCACTGAGTAGATTCCAGATGGATCTTGTTGTTTTCAACCTTCCCAGAAATGCCTTTTTAGGAGGAAGAAGCCAAATTGAGAAGAGCACGTGATTACAACCCCCAGGCTCATTAAAAGACCCCCCGCCTCCAAAATAAGAGTTCAGGGCTAAGGCTAAAAGCAGCTGTGGCGCCCAGCCCGACACAAATGCTTCCCCGTTATGGGATTATCGTGGCCTGAACCGCGGAGGCCGGGCCTACGAGAGGGGGCACTGGAGAACTTCAGCACAGCGGCGGTGAAGCGTGCATCCGTGGGAGGGCGGGGGGCTGAGCTGCCCAGGCCTCGCCGGAGAGCCCGTGGGGTGCGGGGAGAGGGGGGGATTTCCAGTTGTGTACCTAGGACGGTCTCCCCTGCTCCCAAGGGCGCGCCCTTGCTTTCCAGCCCTCGGGCCGAGCTGAGGGCGAGGACGCCGCCTCGGCCTCCAACTTTCCCCTTCCCAGCAGGCGCAGAGTTGGCTGGCAGGGGAGCAGAGGAGGAGCCGGGTCTCCTTTGCGCTCTTTTAAACAAGGCTCCGGGCTGCATTCCCCCGCCACCACCCCCCCGCCCCGCAGGATTCTTTCTTCGTCTTCGCTTTTAAACCCAATCGTTAATCGTTCGGAGCGCGCGGGCGGGGAGAGGCAAGGAGGGTGAGCTCGGGGTTCGCCGCC